CAAATTCAAAGCCAGCCTGAATTAAAAGCAAGACCCTGTCTCATTAAAAAATTTTTTACAAAAACAATAGTTACCATTTATTGAAGTCTTCTCTGTCCAGCAAAATGCACTGATTTAACCCTCATAAAGAAGTCTGAGGCAGTTACTAAACTTATTTGCAACTTACAGATGGAGAATTGCGCTTCAGAACTACAAACCTGAAGAGTCCACTCAAGGTACAGAAGGCTCTGGACTTCTGGAAGCTAAAAGGGGGACAGAGGCACTCCTCCCTTTCTCCAAGGTATTTACAGGCTCAGCCCTCAAAACCTGGTCCACCATAATAAGAATCAAGTTGAAAATCCACACAGGCATTAGGAAGGGGAATGGGGGAAGGAAACCACCAATGAGGAGGGAGCATTATTACCAACAATCTTCTGAACCCTCCTGCCATGTAAGAATTGTTATTCCCACTTGACAGGTGAGGGAACTGAGAATCGTTAAGGACAAGTGACTGGTGCTCCCTCTTTCCCCTCCCCATATTTAGAGGTTCTGGGCTCCCTCCCCTTCACAACCACTTCCCTGGAGGGCTGCCCCACAGACCCTCTCTCCATCCAAGAGACTACAGGATTCCTCCACTGGGAGAGACAGTCATTCTCTCCGAAGTCCTGGTCGCAGCCCACGATGTTTAAAGGGCCTATTTTGAGAGTTAATAAGTGTGGGAGATGGTGCATGCTTGGCCAGTCTCTAGCGGGCCTCTGACCCCACCCCAACCAGCAGACACCAGCCAGGCTCTCAGTACCAGTATGGGCTAGGAGGAAGCCACAGCTGGAACAGCAGACTGGGGCAAGAGGAGGGGCAGGGCGGGCTCCCTCAGCCCAGACACGCTGGCGCTCCTGGGACCAGGGACTCTGGCTCCCCTGGTGGAGCCCTGGAAGGCAAGAAGGGAATAGAGGTGGGGTGGCTGTACTGTTGGGGGGGGGCTGTGGCCTCAAGTGAGCGGCAGGTAGGGGTGAGGGTTTGCAGGAATCCAGTGCTTTGGCTCCGTATCCGCCAGCAAAGCCTGTGTTACTCCTAGATCTTCCTAGGCTAGGTTTCTCAGGCCTCGTCGGAAGGTGCCAGGTGATGGGCTCCCAGAGAGTAACCTGAGACAGGGGGACAGGAAGGAGGCCGGCTCACCCCCTCTCAGACGACCCCGGGAGACCTGGCGGCGAGTCTGCGGTTTGCATAGGCTCTCAGGGACTCTGGAAGCCCAGGGGGGGAAACGCAAAAGAAAACAGGTTTCAAAAATAACCTGAACGCCAGTCTCGCCACCCGGACGCAGCTGGGGGGAGAGGAAGCAGGGTCTAAAACGCTCCGTGGGCGACCTGAGACAGTCCAGGCCGGCCTTCTCCCAACAAGCAGGAACCTGCGTTAGGGCTCACACCTGAGGCTTGGGCGTTAGATGCCGCTGCGCCCCAGGTCTTTCGAGGGGCGGTGGGGTAGTAGGTTCCTGCTGTGGTCGCCAGTGTGGTGTGGGGACGAGGCAGCTTCCCAAGTCCCTGCGCCCACCTCTCGTCCCCTTGCGGGCGCTGAGCTCCGGCCTCTCCCAGCTGCCCGAGGCGGCGGAATGGGGAGGTGCCGGGCTCGCCTAGGTCTCCTCTCCTCACCTGCAACCCCCGCGCGCCGCCCGCACCCGGAGACCCCGACTCGGCCTCTTCCCAGGTTCTGCCCTCCTCCCAGATGGCGCGGGCAGCGGGAGCACGACCTGA